AAATGCACCACACGGGACTACATCGGAGTATTCCACATGTGGAGCAGAAGCCATATCGAGAATAACAATGGTAGAAGGGTTTACGAGCAACTATGTAATAGTTGTCGTCGTTAGACTTGGTGAATCCAATAATGAGTTTGTTGCGACTATAAAGCCATTCGGAGTATCGTCTAAAGTTATTGTCATTGTTGTTGTACTTGTGTGTTGGAAGTGAGTATATTCTGGCCAACTCACTCACAAGTGTTGCTGTGCATTCTTCGCTACTTCCAAGTAATACCAGCGTTATCATATAAGTATAGCCACCATAATGTTTGCGAATAGCGCAGTAAACGTTGTCAATTTGAGTTGGCTCTATGTCGGCAATATCTGAGCAAGAAATCCATTCAAGTCTTAATTCTTCATCTTTACTTTCTAAGGAGGCTTGAACCAAGTCGGTAATTGCTGGATTGTTAACGGCCCCTGATACTAACGACATAGTTTTGAATAATTGAAACCCCCTTTTCTTCCAAGTGAACTATCTTGGTTATCAACGCTCGTCGTGTTACATTGTACATTTCTTTATTATGATGACAAGTGACACGCTCCACATAGTTTTTGATTGACTAAGAGTATTACTATAGAAAGAGAGCAACATTTTGGAAAGATATAAACTTTTTTAAATAAATAAAAAATTTTTTGTTTTACTATGTTACCTGAAAATAAGCAACATTATAACTTCTTCGTGTGACCTGTCGTGCCAATACACCCGGGGAGCGTTGATATACGGGCCTTGAGATTTAACTCTTTTCAATCGGAACCTTTCGTAATTCCTACTCGAATTAAATCTACCAACAACTAGTGACGCTTAAACTGCAATTTATACTCACGATCTAAATATTGGTCGTGTATACGTTCTCCTGAATTCTTCGAGTTCTACGTCGATTTATATTGGCGGAATATCCTATCGGTTGGGAAACTAAACTACTAAACTTGCGCAAAGAAATAAATAATAATTCTGATACTTCGAGATTAAGGGCGAATATAATCTGAAGGAACACCGATCGGAGAATACGTTTTGTATCTCGGAGATTACCGGCGTTGTATCTTTTACAGAATTAATTAATACGAATAGGTTTGTTTTAACACAGTTTATTAAATATAAAAAACTATTCTATTGCAAGGATTATTGAAAAGTTCAGCTGAAGATGATCTTATAGTTGAAAGATGTCGTTTAGCTATCGTCTAAGCTTTCTCTTTTATAACTAAAATGACAGGAAATTTAGCCACTTGAGGAAATATTACGTACTTACGTTAAAATGGCAAGAATTAATGCCACATTAAGGGGTCGTCTAAAGCGGGGGCAACACAAGAAATCAGTCGATTAAATTTCAAGGATTGGCGATGTTAACATAATCAGGAATTTATCCGACATGTTACACGGCAATAATTTTATCGAAATATCACCTATAGTTGTACTACATGTTCGAATGTGTGTTATCCTTAAAAAGGAAATATTATGGCCGTGTAACATGCCGGATAATATCCCGATTATGAAGTTAACCAATCTAATTACGATCATGTGTAACATAAAAACAAGCCAAAAAGAAGAAATTTCATAAATAACTCAAATTTTTACTATGATAACTAGCCTTTGACTTCTAAGTAAAATGTTCAGCATAAAATTTTACTCATATATATTAAATGTCAATAACTTAATTAAAAAATTGTTATTAATTTGATGATTTCATGTATTTGCCCCCGCTTTAGCCATCCCCCAAAAGTATTGGTGATTTTGCCGATCATAAAATTACTTCAATATATACAAAAAATTATTTTCCTTGTCGAGCAAGATGCTGCAAATTTTATTCACGTTTGTAGATACACTCATACCATAATACCCCTCCCCTAATATAATACCATTATCCGATCAAAGTATCACTATGTGCGTAACAAAATTTCGTAAAAATACCATTGGTATGTTAGTCTGAGAACACAATATTTTTACCCCAGGTATTCCTGGAGTGTTTGGGTATCATTAATTTAACGCAATTTTTTAGTCTCGTTCTTTCTTTTAATAGTAATTTTTGAACTCTATGGTGGATTTAATGTAATATATTTATTGTTATATTAACATAATCTAGCCAACTTTAATACTAATTGCTAGGAAAAAGAGGTAAATTTAAGTCTTTCTATTATACAGGGAGAAAAACCAAATTCCAAACATTGCCCGGGGTCTGGTTGACATGATATTAGTTTAAAACCATAATTATAATTTACATAATACATAGTCACTCTCGATAAGTCGGACTCATCGGGGCGGAGATTTTATCCGACTTATCGTGAGATCCGACTTATCAAATTTTATAATATTTTATTAAAAAAAGTGTTTGTATTTAGAATATCAAATATTAAAGGACAACAAAAGTATCTTAGATATTATACACGATTCATTTTTTACAAATGTGAGCTGCTTTAAAGAAGCATTTTGCTTTCTCGCTGTAAAGTCTTTCAATCCTGAGATTACGGATGTCAACATTTTATGAGTTATATATTTATTCGATGCAAGCGCGTTTGTCTTCTGAATCATTATGATGTCATAATAACGTTTTCTATAATACTGTAATAACAGGTACACTCGTATATATTACATAATATGTTGTATACGATAATCTCGTTCTAAGCAAGCAAATGATGACAATATCAATATTGTCTACGATGCAATTATTCTTAGCAAAATCATTGGGTAATTAATTGTATTGTATTCACTAAAACGGTAAAGATTATCACTCAAAAATCACGTGTTCCGACTTATCGAGAGTCATTTGTTATAACCCGAGTGAAAGGTTGTCCGACTTACGGGTTTATCGCGATTTTATATATGTGTCCGACTTATCGAATTTTTTTAAATATTGAAAAAAAGGGGCGAAAAATTTTGTCCGAGTTAAGCCAAATCCGACTTAGAGAATGACTATGTATATGATAATTCTGATTCGACGTTTCACAATAGGCACATTGTCCAAGATCACAACCAACAAGTTTGAATTGGGCTGCATTTCGCACAGGCAGAACGATTGTAATGTGATATTTACTGTTTTGAAATAGGATACACATGTTTAACATCACAACCAATAAGCAACAATTAATTAACATTGTTTTTGTGATAATAGCGAAATAAAATGTGCCTATTTCGAACTGGGCCAGAACAAAAGGGGCTGTATGTAAACTCGCGGTATTGGACACGAGTTGTAGCACAGAAAACATGATTAATATTAAATATTCCCGCGTTTCCTAATCACGTTAGATTACAAGGGGGTGGAATTATATTTATTATTATTTACTCATCAATCCAGTCATTATCATGTATATGTATTATTATTAATATTCTTTAGACAGAGAGAAGGTTCAGAATTAGAATGCGATCTCGGCCAAAATCGTACTTCCATCTATAGCAGAACCTAATGCCTGTAGTTTCCGTTTTCCGCTCTCTCTCTCTTTCCTATCTCCTACTCTCACTTTGGTTCTTATCCAATCTCGTCGAATCATATTCCTCGCCTACGCGACCTTTGTCTGCAATACTCGATAAACGTATTGATGGGGAAGATTATGGACAATACAGGAATGTTATTGAATATAATAAGAGAGATGAAAATGGAACTTTGACGTGTAATGAACGAGAGGACATTTGCGATTTGCGTTATGATCAAGTGGTAAGTTTTGCTACAATTAAGGGATTGATAGCGGCCCATTAGAAGCTTTGTCAAGCCACTTTGTTGACTCATTTGTTCTTTAATGTATTTATATTTTTCGGTATTTTCATATATTTGTTTAATTCTCCGACTTTGTTCTTTTTCCAGACCCATATAGGTACGCACAATAGCGGAGCGTATGATTTAGCCTTCGACTGCGACCAAATAGCCTCGACTTGCCTTGATTCATCAACCACTTGCACCAGGCAGCTTTCCTCATGTCTTTCTTCATACCCACTCTATTGTACTGCGGCAGCAACAGTCTGCAAACAATGGCATCCATCTTGGTCGCATTTTTTGTGTGATGGATTCGATGCAATTTGTAAAAAGACGGATTTTATGTGTTATTTGTGGGAAGGTATCTGTAGCGATACGACAAATGTATGTGCGTTATGGGGTACTGCGTGTGAGAACGGTCCACCAGAGTGGTTTTTAGGATGTCTGTGGGAGAATAATGCGGGTATGGATGTTTTGAGACAGTTAGAAGATGGTGAGTGCACGATGCTTCTTGACGGGGAGAGTTAGAAGGGGTGTTGAGAAAGAAAATAATTGAATGATATTGAGAGGATCCCCATACTAAAAATAGTTACGATTTAAATATGCGTTATCTCAATATTTTCGTGTTTACCACTTAGGAATACGTTATTTGGACTTGGACACATGCCAAACAGGAAACACGGTTGTCATATGTCATGGAATGGGATTGCCGCGTGCCCTCGGACACTCGCTGGATAATGTTTTTTCTCTAATTAGATCCTTCTTACTCGCTCACCCAAATGAAGTCGTGTCCCTTGAATTTGGCGACATTGATGGCAACGCTACTTTTATGGCGTCGTTCATTCAGAACAAGCTTGCGCAATATTTCACTTTCCCTAATGGCACCTCTCTCCTCTTGTCTCGCGCTAATAATACCCAACCATGGCCTACCTTGCGTGAAATGATTGAGAGTAATAGCAGAGTTGTTGTCTGGTTCGAGTGGCTATACAGTGATTTTGGGTCTCAGAAGAGAGAAGATTGGATACACAGCTCGCAGTATTGGATGACTAAAAGCTATGACTACACATATAATGCGACGACTCCCCAAAAGTTGAATGAAAGTTTTATTAGTTGGTGTGACAATGCTGACAACGTGACAGCGTACGATGTTGCGAACTTTGGGAGACCGAAGTGGCAGATGGTTGACGATGTGTAAGTATTGTGGTTTGTTGTGGGAGAAAAGAAGTAATAGTGGCAAATCATAAGGGTGTGGATTCTTCTCATTCTCACGTCTATCCACGTGGTGCGTTTTCTTTTCTTTTTTTTGAAGCGTAAGTTATGATCCAGGCGAAATAGTTTCGTATCTGCAATCACGTACTAGTCCTTCTGAAATCTGTCTCCAATCACAAGCGAACCAAGTGAATTATGGGATGCTCGATTTTTTGGCCGATTTCTGTGTGCAAAAGTTTGGATATATATTTCGACTTACTGTTGACTATTACTGGAAAAGCAATTTGTTCGAAGTAGCAAAGAAGATGAATGACTGGAATGTGGAACGAGTGAAAAGTATGGGTTCATGACGTAAGAACTTTGTATAAAATCTTTGTGAAATTATTTAAGAATTATTAGAACGTGCACTTCATGAATGCTATGGAGAGGTGCCGATTTTTTAATGGGTAATTTTTTATGTATTTTATCTGATGTATTTGTAATGGCCTTGCACAATTGTACATCTAATGTCTTATAATTTTTAATAAACCCCTTAATATTGTGTTAAGTGACTCGATGAATTCACATCATGATAATATAATGAATGATAGTGCTTCCAATATTAATATTTAGCTTTATGGAATTCCTCGTTGTCAATTACAGCTTTAACTATTTCAGCATTCCATATAACTAAATTTCCTGGAACATTTACACGGGTCCAACCACGCAGTCCTATGCAAGCCATAAAGTGAACAATAGTTTCCTCTAAGTAACACAGAATAGCCCTCTATCACAGTTTTTGGTAGATAACGATAATTCTGCTTTTGCTCCAGATTAAGATATTGATAGAAACACCCGATTCATCATTAATCCAGCCTCCTTCTCCAGTCTCAAGAGTTGTTCGGTATGCAAATCCAAGTGCTTATACAGGAAAAAGCCGAGTGGACTATTCAATGAAGAACGAAAAGTACATGAAGATTTTATGAAAACCTCTGAGGAGTGAAGTAAAAAACAAAAAGGGGAATTGCTAGACAAGATTAGAGAATTAGAGGGAAAAATCAAGCAATTAGAAGCAGAAAAGCAATTAAAGGAGTTAACTCCTCAAGCACTGATTAATGAAGTAGAATCGTATAAAGAAGAAGTTCATCGAATTAAAATTCAGTTACGAACAATCGAATTCTCAACAGTGAGGTTAAGGGTGACCTTGATTGAAAATAAGGAAGTAAGATACCCGAGTGACGTCACAAGTGTTCACTTTGGTTTTATCGCAGCACGCCCCACATTATCATCGAAAAATGTTAAAACTATGCAGAGAACCAACGTGAACTTGTTCTCACAATTGAATTTCGTGACAAAAAACTCACTAACTCAAATAACTATTAGTTCGGCAAGTTATACGAGAATAACTTCTGGTAGCGTATTTCCGAGGCCGAGTAAACCATGTTACTTGACTCTTCTGCTTGACCCGACTATGCGCATGCGTTCACCATGAATATAATATATAGTTGAATTGCAGACCTTTTCGAAATTAACACTAATTGGTTATATTGGTTCTATACAGGGGCAAGCTTGATACGAGACAACAGAAATCCAACAAAAGATAAATAAGAATATGGCAAATCAAACCAAGTCAAGAACCATTGTCGTGTGCGGAGCCCCTGCTGTTGGTAGTATAACTTTCATTTACCGATAATTTGTTTGTCTGTATAGTAGGATAACCCGTACTTCATGATGACACAGGAAAATCATCCTTGACTATTCAGTTCGTTGAGAACCACTTTGTTGATTCTTATTATCCAACCATCCAAAGTGCTTACAATAAAGTCATCCGATTCCGCGGTCAAGAAATCGCTGCTGAAATCATTGATACCGCTGGACAAGTGAGCATAAACAGTCATGATTTCGGATATATGGTCATGTCCTACGCTTATAGTAACTTTTAACTTTTTTATCATCATAGGATGAACATTCCATCTTGAGTTCGACGCACACGGTGGGAATACATGGTTACGTGCTCGTGTACTCTATCACATCTCGACAGAGTTTGGAATTGGCCAAGCTTATCAGGGAAAAGATCTTAAATTTTACTGGGGCTGAAGCGGTTCCAATGGTTCTTGTCGGTAATAAGACAGATTTGCATATGCAAAGGTAGGCATCGTATTTCGTCAATGCTTTTTTTTAGATATTCTCCAGCTTACTCGATGCCAACAACTATTTACAGACAGCTGACACCAGAAGAAGGTAGAGATCTAGCTGCAGAGTGGGGTTGCTCCTGGATAGAAGCCTCTGCGAAGCTTCATGAAACTACTAGTAAGGATTAATTATCTTATTATCAAATATTCGAATTATTAGCCCAGTTTAACGCTTTTACCTTTGTTTACCTCAATATAGCTAGAATATTTGATCTCATGATTGCTGAGATCGAGAAGTCAATCAACCCGGATGGGGATGGCCAGGGACAATGTAATTTCTTATAGATGGTTAACTTGCAAAATGTTAGGGGTCATAACTAAAGTGAATCCTCTCTATTGTTCAATCATTTATTACACAATACAAACTTCCATCTGAGTTAAATTTTAATAACCATTCTCAATTATTATAATTTACTTCTATTTCGTAATATACTCTATGAAAGACTGAATGGTGCTATGTCTCCTGTAGTATGGTGAGGCGTAGTGCTAGCGCTGTGAGGAGCCGCTTGTATATCCGACAGCATCGCCTTCAAGTCATTTAATCTTGATTTCAGTTTGGGAACTTCAACCATCCTTTGTTCAAGCATCTCTTTTTCTTCTTGGAGTGCTAGGCGACGTTCTGCGTCCAATTTAGTAAATACATAGCCTCCCTGCCCATCATACTACACAATTAAGATACGAGCATACAGCGTGTTAATCTGTAAGAAATCGAAGGGTACCCCTTTGCTACCCAAAAATAAAGAAGAAATAACAATAGTCTTTCACTACTTATTTACCTGAAGAATATAATTGTGATATTTCCAGAGTGATGAACGATGCGAGACAGTTAAGAGCGAAATCCCGAGTTCTATAAAACGGTTAACCAATATTAGTTTGGTTCAGCCAGAATTGTTTATCTATCGAATGATACATACCCGTCGCATGAGTGTACATTATTTTTTCAATCTCCATGCTCACTGAGCTGGTACCTGAGAAGATGTCAATTATGTCAATCACATATCTCAGATAGTCACTAGACTTAATGACGTATAATTTAACTTACATTCATCTAAAATAGCATATCGTGGTTTGTGATAAAACAATCTTGCCATTGCAATCTGTATTAAGGGAATTATCAATGGGAAGAATATACACAGAAATTCTAGTTATAATAAGTTGCTTGTGATATCCGACATCTGGGTTAACGACACTTTTTCACTGACCAAGGGTTCGTTTATAACCAGAGCCATTGTGTAATGCAAATATATTACCGCTTACCCTTTGTTTATCACCGCCTGCCAGAGCATCCTTCCATTCACGTTCTTTGTCCCATCCTCCTTCTCTCTCAACAAAAGTGCCAAATTGAACAACTTCGAGAATCTTATGCAAATCATCATCCGTAATGTTACCTGAATGTCAAATGTAATCAGTATTATGTTTTAACTACTGTTTTAAAGCATCTTCAGTAAAAATAATACTTACGCTTCTTCATGTCTTCAATTGTATGGGGATATATAATTCTAAACAAAATATCGATTGGAATTAGACATTGTTCCATACACGGCAAAAAATGATAATAATTAACATCTTACTGATCGCGTAAGGTACCAAGGGAAAGATATGGACGTTGTGGGATGTAGAATATTTCCGAAGACTTTGGCTTGCGAACAGTCCCACCTGGAAGACAGTAAGTAGATGACAATATGTCAGCATCAGATGAGTTGATGAGCAAGCACGTAATCATTTAAAAACAAAGCGTCGTTACGTTAATGGCTATTTCTTCACTTACCATAAACAGGCCACAATCCACCCAAAATTCTAAACAAACTACTCTTCCCACAACCATTAGGTCCAACAATCAACAGATGCATCCCAGGCTTAACATAAAAAGTCAAACTCTTCAAAAGTACATCGCCATTAGGCGACACTATTGGCACATTATTAAACTCTATGTCATCACCTTCAAACACTTGGCCACGTCCAGACAATACTTTTGCATTCTCCTCTGTAGACGCAGAAGAAACTAACTGCTTCTCATAGCGGCCAACTTTGACGTCATCGAAGACATCAAGTAGCTCAGAGACCTTTATAAATCCCATCAGACTTAAGTTAAAACAGAAAATTAAGAACAAAATGTAAATTAAAGAATACATACACGAGCAGTGAAACCAGCTAATTCTGTGACTTCTTTGTATGAATACATAATGCGACCGAAAGCATCAGAAGAGCTCAGCAACAATCTGCGATTAGTAACGAAGCCTATAAATAGCAAATGATTTCGTGTTTGCTTTAATAACAGCATTCTACTTCCTTTCCTACTGCAGAATATCCCAACCTACCTTCTGTTCTCTTTCCTAAATCGTTTCCTTTGGCTATTCCAGGCACATTAAAGAACACAGGTACTGCACACAGTATAAGACCAAGAGCGCCCCATAAATATTTGATAATAAAGTCTTCCAACATTCCGTGGAATATGCGCAACCGGAATATCCTGTTAATATGTTTAATAAGGGCAAAGTAGCTCCTATCCAGTATGTATTTCTCCGTTGAATGGCCAGAATAAAGAGCAATCTCTTCAGCATTCTCTATAAGGCGCGAGTGAGTGAATCGGAATTCGCCCTTTACCAATGAATTATAAAGTATTTGAGAATAATCGTGGTGAGCGTGAAAATGTTAACGGATGTACATGGGTATGATTAAATCATAAAGTTTGTAATCAATAGTCACAACGTAGGTGTCCTACCTCCAATTTCTGCTCCTCAGCAACCATCTTTCCGAACGGAGGAGTCAAGGCTCTTAATAGCACAGAAGAAAAATGCACTGCCAATGAAAGCCCAAACAATCCTTCTCCTCCAACATTCTTGGACAGTTGGTAGTTATAAATGAACGTATCCAAAATTGGCTTAGCAAGGTTACTATATAACTCAGCTAATGAATTACAAAATTTCATTGCATCAACGGTAATGCACCTGATTGAATGAAAATAATGGTCTTTAGCATGGTAAAAAGTTTGGTTGTAAAAGAAACATAAAAGTAAGGAATACCCACTGATCAGCGTTTTTTATCCGATCATCAAGATTCCCGACGGTATAAAATGTCATATCACTCAAGTACTTATCATGGATATGATTAGTAAGACGTGATCTAAACTGTATCGCGAGTTTATTTTGCATAAATGTGAGCTAGATAACAACGAATGA